TATGCAATTATGAAGAACTTTGAAAATGGTTACAATAATTTTAAAAAGATTATTATTAAAAATCCCATAATTATACGTAATTAACTAAATTGAGCCAAAATTAAAATTAAAACAAGTTTTTAAGGTAAGTATTAGAAACTTTTGTTTAAATCACACACATATTCTGAATATTTGTGAGTAAAATCTCTTAAACTCAATTAAATAAAAATCAGTGAAAACTGTAACGAATATATTATATATAGTTCTAGAATGAAATAGTTTTCTGTTATATTTTGATAGTAATATAAAGACTTTGCTTCAAAAAAACCATATTTCTTTTATTTTAACAGAATATAATTTTTAAACGGAAATAATCCATAAAATTGAATATGCCGTTGTTTCTTATTCGGGCGAGTTATTTTGCTCTAATGTCACTCATATGGCAGTCTAACATCATGCAATCAAAAGTATTATGTACACAGATTTAAAAAATATAGTGCACACTATGATTTAATACAATAAAAAGTGGGACATCCAATTTAATACTTTTGTTTAGTTGGGTTAAAAAAAACTTGACATTTTAAATGTTACACGACAAAAAAATTGTATCACAACATATTTTATGCGTAAAGACGGAAAGCTTTCTTAACTCGATATCATTCTTGTATATACTATTGCTTAATTTTTGTGTTTTCTTTACTTTATTCTGTTGTTATTATTTATACTATTATTATGATATTTTTATATTGTTATATTGTCATTTTGTATGGTAGTATTTTATTATACAATATTATATATTCTTCCTCCTATCACATTACTATTATTTACTTTTTGTATCTAATATTGAATGAATTCCTGTTACCAAAACAACAAACATTGTAGTTTCTACAAAAAGTTTTTCAGAAAACTATTTTAAAAAAAAAAAAAAAAAATTTTTTTTTTTTTTGCAAAACTATTTTAATAAAATACAAATTTAAATTAAAGGCGAGACTGACCAATTTTAAACGATCGAAAATTATAAAAATAAAATTAGTACAAATATAATATTGACGTGTCATGCAACATTTTTCCATGTTGAAAAGCGCCAATTTATAAAAAAAATATTGCAAATTCATTGTGAATAAATAGAAAATTTTGTTTGTACAAAAATAGCATTTAGGTTAAGGTGTATAAGTATAAAAAATAATATAAGAGAAAATAGAAATTATAATATGGAATTGTAGAAAAATATAAAGAAGAATAAAATAAGAAACGAAAAGAAAAATAAGAGAAATTTATAATAAATACAATTATTATTATTATGATGATATTTATTTATTATGAAAACACAATGTTTTTGATAACTTAAAAAAAAGGGTTACTATAGAATAGAATAGGCTCCCAGAAAGATCAATAAATATCTCAAAAGCTTTTTCTTTGTAAATAATAGTAACTTTTTTTTTGTTTTATTTTGCTACGTTAAAATCAATTTAATAAAAAATCATCGATTTCTCTTTAGAAAATTTCTTTGCTTTTTCTTTATTTTTAATACTAAAAAAGGAAAATATCAGATTAAATGTTTAACAGGAAAATAGAAACATATGTAGGTGCATACATATACAACGTATATTACAATTTATTTCATGTTTGACACTAAAAATATAACATTATGAAAAATGTGAATAAAACTTTATGAATCAAATGAAAAATGAATGCAAAGTAAGAAAGAATTTTTGCTAACATAAAAATAAAAAAAAAATTTTTGTTTTTCTATAAGAGTTTTGATAGGTGAACAGCATTAGAAGAACCTGCACTTGCAACTTATTATTATATTATATGCACATACAGATTACATACGACATAAATAATATTCCCTCCATAACAAAAACTTAATTTAAAAGCAACACACATAATGATGTTCTCACATATTTTTTTACCTCCATACGTGTGTATATACTTATACATTATATATATTATATATTAATAAAGCATATATGTATATTTACTTTTATACAATTTATTAAATATTACTGTTAAAAAACTCTTAAGTATTTATTAAAATGATAATCATACGAGTATAAATAAAAACTCTTTAATTTGAAATAATCATGTAGGAGTACTGCTATCTGCTCAAATATTATTTTTATATTAAAGAGAAATTAAACAATTGAGAAATTTAATTCTTCATAAAAACAAAACGAAAAAAATAATATAAATTTATTTTTAATTACATATTGCAAATTCTCTGGCATACATATTTTAATTTGTAAATTATTTATTATCATGCTAGTAGTAAAATGATTTAAGTTTTTTGTGTTGTATAACAGCACCTCCAATATTTGCTATGTTATTTATTATTTACTTAATCAATTCTCTTAAAATTTCTCTTTCTGGGATTATCTGCGAATTTATATTCTGGCTTTTTGCTTTTCTTCATTTCTACACTCTTTAAACATTTAATACGAACAGGTATTTTTATTTACCTGTTTATATATTGTGTATTAAGACCGAATAAATTTCTTGTTAGTGTGCTGAAAAAAAAAATTGTATGCATTTTTTTTTTCTCGTTTTCACAAAAAGAATTTTTGCTTTAATTCCACAAAAAATTAAAAAAAAAAAAGAAAATACTTTTTACAATTTCTGATCTGCTAGTATATAAAATATTAATCGACATTACTGTACTTTACAGTTTTGTAAATAAAAAAAAACTTTTATAATATAAAAGATAAGAAATGTAAAAATGGTATTCAACTCAGAAAAGGCAAACAACTAAATGATAATTTCTTTTTGTGTCTTATAATTAAAAAAAACATTCGTAAAATGATTGTATTCTTCTCCAACATTTATACATACTGCCTGTTTATTTAGACATACTGTTAGTGAATAATATTCAATTTTGCTCTTGATATGCAATTTACAAATCATACTGATTACCATGTTGGTTGCGATTATAATGTTCGCCTATTTCATTCATAAAAATTATGTTAAAATGTCGGTGCATCTTGCTACATGATAAGTGTATACATACATATAAGTCATGTTGTATACAAATTATCACAGCAAGTAAATTATGTGTATACCAATATGAAAATAATATTCAATAGATGAGACTTTATAAAATTTGTGAAAAATGTCTCAGATCATTTACATAATTTATCGTCGTATTTTTTTGTAATAACAACAAAATCGGCAAGTACCACACTGGACAAGTTATCAGTGACAACTTTTCTTACTTTTTCTCATAATTAATTTTAATTATGTTTGCATAGTTATAAGTGTGTATATTCATGAAAAATTTCTCTGAAAGCCCAGCGTTAAATATTCGTTCACTGCATAATTTGATAATAATGTAAAAAAAAAATCAAATAATGTTTGTATATATGGATTTTATTTTGTATGATAGAGGAGACATGGTTGGTGCATTCTACACATAAAAATGTTGAACATATAAGAAATAAGTTGAAATTTCAAGCTCAAATTTTTGATTAATAAAAAATTGAAACAGTTATTATTTCAAAATTCACGTATTCTATTCGATTAGTATTGTTGAGGAAAAAATTATTTAATAACACTTTTGAAATGTTTCATGGCACATTAATAATGAAATATTCAGTATTGAATTTACATATTATGCAGTTTTATATGTTATGCTCATACTTTGTATATACAATGCAAAAAAACATATGTACAATAACAATACTGAAGAAGTAACCTAATGATATGCAATTTCTTTTTATGTCAAAAAAAAATTTCAACAATCAAAATCAAGAAGCTGAAATTATTTATTTAAAATACCGTCAATCTTTTTGTTTATATGCAGTTTTTATTTTAGAAACAATCAAATCATATAGATTGCATTATAAAAATTGCAATTTCTAATTAATAAAGCTCTTTTCTAAAATTTTATGTTAAATAAGTAAGAAAATTCGAAAATTATTCTAATTGTCTATATTTATTCGCAAATTATTCTGTCTATATTTATTCCTATTGTTTAGATTTTCCACATGGAATAACCCTATGTCTTTGGTTATTTCTACCAGTGTGTCATACTATATTTCCAAAATTCGGTAAAATTTTAATTTTGCTTTAATTTTTTTTTATTCTCTTCTTAAAAAAGCCACTTACAATAATTATACATCTACTTAAAACTAATTGTATATTTTATCAATTTTCTCTTTAAATACAGCATTATAAAACAATTAGACTGGAAACATAATACAACATTGATATTGTGGTTGGTGTTTCTTATATATTACTCCATATTACTCTCCTATGTTGTATATTAAGTATTAACAGTTTTAATTATATATACATAATAATAAATGTGTAAATGTTTAAATGTTCCTTATTTAAAAGTCATTTTCTAAAAACTCTTAACGAACTCAATATGTATTGCATTTTCATAAATATACTCGAAAGAGACTTAAATTTTATAAAATACATTCATATAATATATAATTATTATATATAACTCAATATTTAATAAAAAAAAAACTCACTTGAAAATGAAAAAGTTTATAATGTAGAAATTATATTTTAATTTACTAATATTGCTTTAAGTTCAGCTTTTTCTTTTCATTATACTTTCTCAATTTTCTTGGCTCCTGATATTTTTTTTATTTAAATACCAACATTTCCACCTATCAGTTCACTGTGTAAACATGTGAAACATGTAGAATTTTTGTAAGAGAAATTTATTTTTGAAACTCAACGAGTAGAAAAAAAAAAACTAAATAGGGGAACAACTTTCTTTATATTATTTGCTACTTGTTTAATCAGTTATACAGAAATTATGAGAGAGAATTTCATTTGTTGAGTTTAAAACTTTTGATAAATTTGTGCATATTATTTGACAGTAACTGAGTAACACAACACACCTCTTTAGCGTTTTATAAAATTAATAAAATTAATATTTTATTTACTTAAAAAGATAACATTGTTAATTTTTATATAAAAATGGTGATTAAATATATATTATATTTTTTTTATTTTAATAATAACTAATAATCTTTAATTTTATTTAAATAAATTTCTAATTTTAGGTAAGATCATTTACAATTGATTACAAAGCAAATAAATTTTTAATGGATGGTAAAGAATTTCGTTATGTTGCTGGATCATTTCATTATTTTCGTGCTTTACCAAATACGTGGAGAGCAAAATTGAGAACAATGCGTGCTGCGGGTTTAAATGCTGTAGATACGTTAGTATATCTTATATAAACATTTTTTAGTAAAACACGTTTTAGTTATTTTTTTAAAATAAGCATAGTTAATTAGAAATAATTGTATAAACCATTTGCTTAGAAATATTTTTTGTTCAAATCCCAAAGCTTAAATGATTTTAAAAATATTGTTTGTTAAAGCATTAAAAAATAACATTAATACGTTATGTAAGCCTTAAGAATACAAAATTATAAAATAGTTTTTGAATCCAAACAGATTCAAGTAAGGGTATTCTTATTATAAGTTTTAAAATCTAAGCGCAATACTCAAACATTTTTTTGTCACAGTACACAAATATTTTAAACTTTTCCAAACAAAATTTTTCATTCACTACGCGTATCATTAATTTATTATATTATTTTTGTTTTATATTGCTTTTGAGGAATTAAAAAGTGAGCTTAATGTATTTTGTTTAGAACAAGTACTTAGAACTCTGTTCTGCTAACTAAAAAGCTGTAATCGTTTTTGTCTAATTTTATAAATCAATAAAGCACCCATTCGATTTAATTATAAAGTAAATGCTTCATTGTTCTATAAAATTGGAGACTCTCATTCTTTTGCTCATTCGTCTTACAGAAAACAAGCACATTTAAAACGAAGTTCTCAACATTTTTGAACTTACATTCATTGCTTTTGTAAAAAAATATTTTTTTATAAACATAGTACGTTATGAACATAAAAAATTAATTTAGTTTTCTAACAAATTTTATTGTTTATTTTTAAAAAGATATGTTGAATGGTCGTTACACAATCCTGAGGAATCAATTTACAATTTTAATGAGATCGCGAACGTTGAGAGGTTTATTCAAATTGCCCAAGAAGAAGATTTGTATGTAATTTTACGCCCAGGACCATATATTTGTGCTGAAAGAGATAATGTACATACATACACATATTATTATTAAAAATTTATTAAAAAAAAATAATTTTTTAAATGTCTATATTTACAATATTTTAGGGTGGTTTACCATATTGGTTGTTCAGTAAATATCCAAACATAAAAATGAGAACCAGTGACAGTGATTATTTAAATGAAATTAAAATATGGTATTCAATTTTAATGCCAAAAATGGAAAAATATTTATATGGAAATGGTGGACCTATAATAATGGTTCAAGTAATTAAGATATAAAATTAGATTTTTGTATTAGCGGCTGAAGAAGATGTTTTTAATTTTAAAGGTTGAAAACGAATATGGAGCTTTTCCAGCATGTGATAAAAAATATTTAGAATGGCTTCGTGATGAAACTAAAAAATATATTCAAAATAAAGCAATATTATTTACAACTGATATTCCAGATGAAACAATTAGTTGTGGTAAAATCGATGGAGTTTTTGCTACAACAGATTTTGGAGCCGATAGAGGTTAAAAATATTTAAATATCAAATGAACTGAAAAAAAGTAATAATATAAATGTTTAATTTATATTATTAGTGCATGAAATGGATCAAATATGGAAAACATTACGCACTGTACAACCAAATGGACCACTTGTTAATTCGGAATTTTATCCCGGATGGTTAACACATTGGCAAGAAGAAAATCAAAGAAGAGATCCAGATGTTATAGCAAATGCTCTACGGTATGTGAAATTTGAAATTATTTTTAGTATATGATTACTACGCAAATTCAGAAATTTTGAGATAAACAAAAGTTTATGGCGATATGCTTCTTTAAAAGTTTGTGACTTTTAAAGAAGCATATCGCCATAGTTAGCTCAAGAATTGACTTTATATTACCTATTTGGATTTGCTCTTTAAATTTCAAGCAGTCCAAAAATTTTAATTTACTATATAGAAATTCATTATAAATAGAGCAAAATAATGAACGCACTTCATAACCAGATTTCATGTTATTGAAAGACCAATATCATAACAAGATTATAAATGATGGTTTTGTCAAATTGCATCTAATTCATTGAATTTCTAATAAAAGGCTAAAAAAATTACATGTATTGTAATTTGAGACCGGTAACCAAAATATTGACAAAAGTATTTAACCATTTGTCTCTTAAAATTTTAATAGATTATATTTAGTTTATTATACTGATTAAAGACAATAACAACGTGTTTGATATAAGGAACACCACTAAATATAAATACTCTTGATTTATATTTAGATGTAAGCGTCGATTTTGAATTGGTAAAAATAAAATTTAAGAGTAAAAACCATTGATGTTTTAAATGTTCTCATCTTTTTTTATAAATATTCTTCTACTATAAATAATATTCATATATATATATTTATATATTTAACCAAAACAAAATATTTAATAAAATGATAATGTTATTCTCAAAAAAAAAAAATTTCAACTCTATTGCTTATTCTAAAACTGTAAGCCTGATAAAATGACTTGTTTTATGTGTTTGTACTCATCACTCATTTTTTGAGTTTTTTTTTTCCTTCTTTTACATACACACACTAAAAATATTTTCTATAAGCACAAAAAAAACTTATGAAATGTTCAAATAAATGAGAAACTCCGAATAGCCACTTTTTTTTATAAGAGTTCAATTTTATTTGAACTGAAACTATTATACATACAAAAAAGCGAGAGTAAATTTTTTTACAGCCATCCGACATAATATTAAAAAAAAAAATCTCGTCATCCTTACAAAAAAAAATTTAACAAAATTATATTATATTCTTCTGTATCTGATGATGACCTGTTCTTATATGGATCGATAAAAGATGTTTCCCAAATTAAATTGTTCAGTGCCACTGCAAAATGAAAATGGAAAAAAAAATAACATTGTACCTGTATACAACATTGAAATTTGAAATTTAGTCAATTTTAAAATTAAAATCCAAGCGCATTGTTGTATGTTAGAATTTTTAACATTTTAAGTTAGCAGTTTTATAAAAAAATAAAAATGTTAATGAAACGGAATTTTAAACATCTTACATGTAAACTTCGAGTATTTCACCCTAGCAATACCATAATCATAAAGTGCTTTTTGATCTTATTTTGCTAAAGAGAAAATTAAATTGTTTAATTAAATATGTAAATTTAAAAAGCCCTCTAAAATTTTATGACCAATGTTATCTGAACGCAAATATAACTAGTACTATACTATATACCACTTAATTCCAGAATTTGAACCATTTTTGTATAACCACATAGAATTTTAGCATGAGAATGTGACAATAAATATGATTATCAGGTTATTTAGTAATATTTATATTTATTTATATGTAGTCTACTTATTTATATTAAATTTTAGTACAACAATATAGATTTTTAATATTAAAAAGTTCATGCAAACATGTTTTAACTCAATAAAGTATGCAACTATATAAAATAGGAATTAAAAGTTGTAAATAAAAGTGTTCAAGATATTGCCAACCAAATCAAAATATTTCTTTTGACATGCCACTGTAATAATAGTAAAAAATCTTTCCAAAAATTCAAAGATTTTATGTTATTCTTCATAAAATAAATTTCGTTCTCTTATTTCTACCAAAGTATTCAATCATACTCACTTGCTTGTTACATGTTTCGAAATTTTTAATATAACAAAATCCTATTGAAAATTTTTAAAAGCAAAATTTCTCTTTATTACATTGAATGTTACTATCGTATATGATATAGCTCTAAATATGGTATACAAAGTTGAGTATACAAAAACAATAAAACAAGAAAACAAAACGACAAGAAAAGAAAAACAACAAGTCAAAATAATTTCATCTTAAAAAAGGATATACGAGTATAAAACAAAAATACAGAAAAGAAATAAAATATCCTTAAAAAATTTTTATGCTATGAAAACCTCCTTTCGCATTGTCTCCTATTAATATGGAATTCTAATCTAAACAATTTGGCCACTAAAAAATGAGAAAAAACAAGTAAACAATTTTATAAAAAAAAAAATAAAGTGTACAATAAAAAAAAAATTCTAAGCATTTCTAATCGCATAAAAAAGGATATAAACATTTTTTGCATAGATGCATACATACATACAAATACAAACCACGGTTTATAGGTACAAAAGATTCATGTATATCATATAACAATATTCAATTCTGAGTACTTTATTCTTATGATAACACGTGTACCTTGTTGGGGAGCAATTCCACAAAACCTATTGTTTATACCATATTTATATATGTACCAATATTTATATGTATAAAAAAAAAAGAATGAAATACAAGACCGTATCGGTTACGTTTCGGAATTTTTTATAAAAATCCTATTAAAATATTTTGAATAAATTGTTTTTATTTATGCTACTCGCCTGGTTTAAAGAAATTCAAAGCGAAACTTTTCTCAATATTTTGAAGCCCTCAAGGAATTTTTAGGTTTTTTTTTCCAGTTTCGTTTTAATTTTACACCTTCTTTTTTCTTTGTGAATTCACATAAATAATGTGCATATTGCGCCAAGCCGAATTGATAAGGAACATAAAGTTATACGTTTGCATACATTCCATTCCATTCTTCAAGAAATCATCGTATAAATATTTTAAACACGATTTTGAATTCTTTAAAAATCACAAAATAAGGATTAATATAAAGAGTGTGTTACTGAGAAACAACAAGCGATTTTATTTGATATTATTTGCTGTTTGCTAGTACCTTCTTCCACTGATTGTATCTTCACTATTCCCATATACGTATTTGAAAGATATTGTGATAAAATCTAAAAAAAAAAATCATTCATTTTAAAATTTTGTTCTCTTACGTATTCTTTACTCACACAAATACCCACATACGTGTATAAAAAGTTTTAGTATTTTATTGAAGTACAAAAGCATATTATTATAAAATTAATTTTAAGGTTTAATATTATGTTATATAGCACGCTTGTATCTGCAAAAGAATTTCTTTAACAAAAGTTTAAAAACGTATGAAATACATGTTGTTGCTCAATACTAAAAAAGAAAATCAACGACGACTCATTTGTATAAACGAAAAATTAATCAGGAGAATAGAAAAAACAGAAAGTAAATATTGTCATAATATTATAATTCTCGTTCTCTTACAATGTAAAATTTAGAATGTTGAAATGTTAATTCTTAAAGAAAAAAGTAATAGCAACATTTGGTTGTATGCCGGCTATCATGTACTCCTCTACTTGTTTACAGAATTTTAATTTAACATCAAAATTCAAGGAAAACTAACATGTACAATAAAATTAAAATAAACTGGTGTAGCATGGAAGACGCTTTGAGTAGCAATTTGTATATAACAGTATGTATATATTATTGGAAAATGAATTCCACTTTCTAATTCTCTCTTAATATCCATCTTATTACTGTTATTATTATAAAATAGTGCTACAAATTTCGAAAATTAAGGAATTAAAATATTCGAAATTTGAGATATAATTGATATTATATCTCAATTGATTATATATAACTGATATTATATCGAAATTTGAAATATAATACGACGTTAGTGACACCATTTCAATATAACATCCAAATAGTACTATTATTTTTTAAATAAAGTGTAACGTAATGATGAAATGAAGTTGAAGAAGACTTTACCAATTATTTCACAAAATGCCATTTTCATATAATACAATATTGTTATACTATAATATGCTTTACTCCATTTTCTACTTCACTAAATTTCAAAGAAGTTCTCTTTATTAAAAATCAAGAGACATTACTTTTCTTTAAGAATATACTACACTATACAATAATCACATGTATTCATCATTTGTTTCAGACGCATTTTCTCCAGATTTTATTACTCTTAAAGTGCTTTCTCTGTACTTTGAGACAGTGAGATGTGAGTTAAAAAATTATATTGTGTTACCATTATACAAACATAATCGAATAACATTACGATCATAAAATGTATTGTTACCGCCAAAGTTAAAAATCTAAAAGAATCTATTAGAAATTAAGGAAAAAAAAATCATATTCTCAGTTATCATCTTCTGAGATTCTGGTAAATATATTTTTAATCGCTCTTTTCTTTAAAATTCTACATACCGTAATAATAATTTAAATTTTTCTGAAATTTTGTTAATATTGGTATTTTCCCATTTACTTTTTATGTATCACATATACGGGCTGGGCTGCGCATCGCAATTTTATTCATTTTCTCTTTTGTTTCTTACATTTGAAATTCAATTATTCGAATATAATTGAAAAATTTATTATAAAAAATGGCAATTTATTGTAGTTACATATTAACATTTACATATAAGTATGTACATACCAATATCGTTTCTTTAGCTACTCACTTTTAGTTTTAGAATTTTGACTCTGTGGTGTGTTTTCTGATTGAGATTTCAAAAACAATAACAAACATATGGGGAGCAATAAATATAATCCCCTGTTTTTATAATATTTTAATACATTGTGATATACAAAGTTGTACTAATTTTATCTGTTCGAAATTTTAATTAATTTAAGGCTCTTAATATGAGAATAACTCAAAATGTATTCAGGTATATTTTTTTTATTTTAAATGGTATGCCTACATAAAGTTTTTAGTATAACAGTGAAACAAAATGAGCATATTATCATTAATATTGAATGACATCTGATGGATAATTGTAAACACATATAATTAGTATAGTGCTTTCTACCATTATACATATAAAGAGAATTATGAAAAAGCAAAGAACACAATGTTGTTTTATGTATTATAATAATAGCTGTGTTGCTCTTTTTAATTATCGTATCACAATCGTATCTGACATATTTTTATACATATGTATTATATTATTTTCGAAATCTGGATATATGCTGCCTTATAATGCTGTACGCCTGGTAAATTTGACTTTTTGTTTGTGGTACGATAAAACCATTCAAAATAAAACAAACTCATAATTTATGACAGACGCTAGAAAACACTTTAAACACAAGAATTATTTTAATTTTTCAATTTCATTTCGATTTTTGAACGCTTTCTATAATTGAAATACTGTCACTTTCTTTGCATTTTATGAACAAAATATAAATATAACATGAATTTAATTCGAATAAGGTAGAAGTTTGAAGCAAGTAATTTTTTATTTGACATTCAAAGAATTTGTTTAACTTAGGGAAAAAGTTTAATAAATTATTAAATTAAAAAAAGCGGAGTCTGAAAAGGAGTTCAAAAAGTGTGCTCAAAAGCATTTAATGAACTTTTTCCATAAAAACTTGAATCAATTTCTCAATTTTTTTGTCATAATATAAAAAATATTAAATGCAAGCCAAACAATTCTCCCACATATGGATTTACATGTAACTAACTCATAATAAAAGTTATTCCACATTCTCTTCTATCTATTAGTTCATACATACATTAATTAACTTTCAATCTAATCTAAAAACATGTGTCTAATATAACATTAATTTTTTCAGTGATATCCTAAAAACAGGAGCTAGTGTTAACATTTATATGTTTTTTGGAGGAACCAATTTTGGTTTTACAGCTGGCGCCAACGATTGGGGTCCTGGTAATTATACAGCTGATATAACATCATATGATTATGATGCTCCTATGGATGAATCTGGTGATCCAACTCTAAAATATCATAAAATTCGTGAAGTAATTAGTGAATTTTTACCCCTTCCAAACATACCTGTTCCAGAAATATCAAAGAAAATGTCTTTTAAACCCATTCCCGTAACACCGATAGTAAACTTATTTACAAATATTTTAGAACCAAAATTATTTGAAAAAACTGTAGAATCAAAAAATCCTAAAGGATTTGAAGAACTTAATCATGGTTTCGGTTTTATGGCATACGAAACAAAATTACCAAACTTAAAAATTGATCCAACTATTCTAACAATTAACGGATTACATGACCGTGCTCAAATATATATTGATAATAATTTTATTGGTACTTTATCAAGAGACAATAATATTAAATATTTACCAATAAGTGCTGGTTCTGGTGAAAAACTTCAGATACTAGTAGAAAATCAAGGCAGAATAAATTTTCATGATTTAAATGATAGAAAAGGTATTTTAGGTAACGTTACTATACAAGGTCAAAATGGAGTTTTAGAAGAGTTACATGATTGGACTTCAAAATCAATTCCACTTAAAAGTGATCATTTGGAAAATATTTTTGAGCAATATAAAAATTCTGTAAATCCAATTGAAGTGAATAAAAATGGTTTATTATTGAATGGTCCTTCAGTATTTGTTGGAAATTTAATTATAGAAGAAACAAGTATACTTGATACATACATAGATTTTTCTGGTTGGGGTAAAGGTGTTGCATTCGTAAATTTTTTTAATATTGGAAGATATTGGCCATTAGTTGGCCCACAAATAACATTGTACGTTCCAAAAGAATTACTAAAAACTGGTTCAAATCCTATATTGATTGTAGAATTGGAAAAAGTTCCAAATGATCGTAATATACGTTTTACAGATACACCAAAATTGGATGGATGAAAATTTAAATAAAAAAATTAAAATTTAACCATACATACTTGAAAATGTAAATTTTCCATATTCGTTATAAAAATTTAAAATTATGTTATTATTCTAAAATATAATAAAACCTGTCAAATATAAAATAGAAATTCTTTTTTAATTATTTTTATTTGTCAGTTAAAAGTTATTTAAAACATTCAAACAAATCTCTATCACTTCGTGGCAAAAAGCAATTCACACAACAGAATTCATCCGATCTGAAGATGTAAACATATCATTTTTTTCGACTAAAAATAATTTCGATATTCTTGAAATTCATCATATAAAAAATAGTACTAAATCTTACCAAATGACCTTAGGAATCAAATTACCGGCAGTATGTGGAAATATAGTCAGTTCGAATTTCATTTTTTCCCTTGAATTCAAATGATTTTTATTTTTACTTTAGTTTCATTCCCTATATCTCTACTTCAGTTCAAGATAAAGGAAATTTTTTTTTAAATTATATTTGATATAACATCGAGAGAAAAAGGATATTGGCGGTCTAATTGGGAGCAATCTGTGCAAAAGAAATATTCTGACCTAAAATTACATTATGCGATTACGTGATACTCACTTATTTTTCTTCTCTCCCGGTTATTAAATAGGTCAATACTTAAAATAGATAAATACTTTTTTCTTATTCACAATTTTATTAATTCAGATACAAGTGAAATACTAAAATAATTTTATTATACAAAAGAAATTAAATTATAATTTAGAACGAACTATTTTTAAATAGCAACATTATACTTGTGGTATTGCAATTATTCTGTTATATAATATAAATATTGATGCAAATTTATGAAATATATTCTCTAGTCTTCATATTGTTCGTTCAACAATATTTTTAACCTTTAATTTATTAAGAAGATTTAATTTAATTTCAAATAAATACGTCGGTACTCGCTAATTCCATTTTGTCGCTCAAATTTTGGTATTATCGTTACGTTCAACCTTAATGTTGCTAAACAGTATATAAAATGTTATTTATACTCGTGTGTATATTTTAAAATCATAATAAGAAATGACCAGCCATTATACACATAAGTTTAATATAATTTTATTGATTTTTCATTTTTGAATATTTGCTGGCTATATTTATTGTGCGCCTAGTAAATTTGACTTTTTGTTTGAGGTACGATAAACCTGTTGCGAAAATAAACAAGAGAAAAACATCAAAAATTGTATGACAACATTTGAATCATTTTTCTCTATGTGAACATCAATCCAATATTTAAGAATTTTATTCAAGTTTTTAATATATTTCTTAAGGTTTCAGGAGGTTCATTCAGGAATCAGAAATTTATTTTCTTTTTTTAATATTTTAATGAAAATTAAGAAAACTTCAAAATTAATTTTTTGAGCGAATTTTACTTGCTCGTTGATTTAATAGTTAGTTTATCTTTTTACAATTGAAATCTTGGCAGAAATAGAAAATTTTTCAATTCAAACAAAAATTCAATTGGCCAAATTCAAGTATGTATTGTTATAATAAATTGTTTTTTCTGTTTTGTTACACATTTACATATTTATATCTATATAAAAATATAAATCCATATATTAAATATCTGGATCCAAATGTATTTTATAATCAAAGAATATTTTTATTTTATTAGCAAATTTCGTTCAAACAAATTGTCGTATCAAATTTGTATAAAACAAATTGTCAAATCAAATATTATAAAACAAAAAGAGAAATTATTAAAATTAGAAGTTTTCTAGAGGAATTTAAAAGATTTTATTATCCTATAATGGATTATACTCTTAATTATTTTAATACAATTCTTTTAAAATAATAATCCAGTTTAAAGTAGAAGAAAAGAAAATCTTATTTGCTGCCTATAGCCGTTTTTAAAAATTCTTGAAATGCGACCTAAAATCATGAGAGATAGGTAATTGTTATGTTGTTGACATTGTTATTTTTAAAGCTTTAGGTTCTCATCATTGGTTTTCATTTTTCAATATACTCATATTTTCTTTCAAGATAGTAGAATAGATATTTTTATTTTTTAAAATAAATTTTTTTAGTTCTCTCCTTTAAACACAAATAAATATGTATTTTAATTTTTTCTTAACTGAGTTGCCTTTACTTTGGAGAAACTTACTTTTCACCATTACTTAACATACAATTCTCTTCCGACCAACGAATAAAATTTATAACCTCGACTTTGGTTCTTATAGATTTATAACTTTTTTCATTGCTCAATATAAATAAAATATAATTGTAGCTCGCTGAAGTTAAAATTATTTTATTAACTTGAGCTAAAAACTACTAAAATTGAGTTTTTTTGAATTCCTATAAAAGAGAAATAATAAACATTGTTTCTTTTATATTTTTAATATTTACATAAATTTTTATCATAAGTAAAATAGTATTGACTATTAAGTATACATAATTGAAACAGTTTTTTTAATTGTAATCCTAAAATCTTAAATAACTAAAATAAACATTTAATTAGAATCTAATTTAGGAACATCTGTAAATGTAATATTTTGTGATGAAGCATTTTGATATTCTATTAATACTATTTTGTTAACTCCTTTCTTAAGTATTTCTTGTGGTACGTATAACGTAATTTGTGGTCCAACTATAGGCCAATATCTTCCTAAATTGAATCCATTAACAAAAATTATACCTTTACCCCATCCTGTTGTGTCTAAATAAGTATCACCAATATTATCTTCTGCTATATTCAATTCACCATAAAAAACAACAGGACCTTTTCGTGGAATTTTATCTTTAATTTGAGGTAAATGTTCTTCATTATTATTTTTTTGTTTCTCAATAATAGATTCAATTTCTTCAACTCCATCCAAAGGATATTTGGTCATTGACCAGTTTTTAAGCAGTCTTTCATCGTAGTAAACATTACCTATAATACCTTTTATATCATTTGGAACATTAAAATTAATACGTCCTTGGTTTTCTACTAAAATTTGAAGTTTTCTTCCAGAATCACCCAAAATTGCTAATTGATTAACTGGTGGTGTACGTGATAATATTCCCACATATTGATTATCAACAAAAACATAACCCCTGTCATGAATTCTGTCAACTTTTAATACAATAGGATCTTTTTTTATTTTAGGTAATTTAGTTTCATAGAGAACCAATCCAGAATACTGATCAAGTGCTTCAAAATATAAAGGTAACTCAGCAGTAACAGTACCACGTGAAATTTGACGTCCTTTTCTAGAAAACAAAGAAAAATTCGGTGTCATTTGAACCGTTCCATAATGTCTTTTCGGTACTGGCTCCGGAATGGTTATATTTGGAAGTGGTAAATACTAAAAAATATCACAAAATATTAACACGAAAAAATAACAAAGTTATTCTAATTAAATTATTACTTTTCCAATTATTTCCCGTAAAGCCAAATATTTTTCAGTAGCATCACCTGCTTCATCCATGGGAGCATCATAATCATATGAAGTAATATCTGCTGTATATTGATTTCCATTTGAATCACTATTTGCACCAGCTGTAAAACCAAAATTAGTTCCTCCAAAGAACATATAGAAATTAACATTAGCACCACTTTCCAACATATCTCTACATGTTGCAAAAAAAACAAAAAATATCATATTCATTATTTATATCTAATTTTTAATGTCATCCTTACATAAAAGGTTGGGTTAAAACTTTTGTTGGGGTTCTTGCCATTCGCTCTCCCCAATGAGTTAACCAGCCGGGATAATATTCAGCATTGACTAGAGGTCCTTGTGGTTCAACTTCTCTTAATTTTTTCCATACCAAATTAAGATCATCACCATGTCCAAAATCTAATGTAGCTAAAACCCCATCAATTTTTCCGCACCTCAATACGTATGGCCCATCATTTGTAAACAAAGCTGCCTTGTCCATAACATATTGGTGAGTTTCATCCCTTAACCATTCACGATATTTTTGATCGCAAGCTCTAAATGATCCATATTCATTTTCCACCTGAACCAATATTATAGGTCCTCCATTACCATACATATAAGGTCGCATTCTTCCCATAAGTTCACCATACCAAATTCGAACTTCATGCAAATAATCTACAACAAATAATAAAATTCATTTAATAAATTATTTTATTTTACATAATTTAAAACATTTACTTATATCGGCTGTTCTCAACTGAATTCCAGGATATTTTCTAAGAATCCAATATGGAAATCCACCCTTTTCAAAATAAAAAACAATTTACTCATTTTTTTTAAACTTTAATCATATTAATTTACCAGATCTCTTTCAGCACATATATATGGTCCTGGTCTTAGAATTACAAGTAAATCTTCAGCTTGAGCTAATTTAATAAATCGTTCAAGATCGGCTATGCCATCCCATGTGTAAAACCCTTCTCTGGGATTATGTAAAGACCATTCAATATAACTAAAAAAGTGCACAATAAATTATTAAATTTAAATTTAAAAAATAAAATTTATAATTAATACGTTGAAACTGCATTAAGTCCAGCTGCTCTTAATGTTCTTAATTTTCGTTGCCATGTTTCTGGATGCGCCCTAAAATAATGAAATTCTCCTGATATAAAACGGAATGGTTTTCCATCTTTAATAAATGTATTGTTCGGGTAATCTATTCCAAATGTTCTCTATTTATTTAAGAAAAATCATTACAAAATATAGTTGCTTATTGAAGAAAAATTTTAAGTAATAATTTTGTTGCATGCTTACCGGCGCTTTTATATCACTATCAATAATTTGATTTGAAGAAACACATGTTGTGATTGCAAAAATTGAAATAAGAGCCAAAAATACCGCAGTCATCTCTAATATCAAATTAGGAGGTTAGCCCAATATCCTGAAAAAAAAAATTAAAATTAAATTTTTATAATTATAAAAATAAAAATACTTTGTGATTAAATTTCATATTTTAAACAGAAAAAAATATTTTAAATTGATATTTTATTTTGAACTAAATTCAAACCGTTTATTATTTTTAAAAACTATCAGTTGGAACATATGCATTAGGAAACAAATACATACATACGTATATACAAACAAAACTTATGGATGCTTTAAAGAGTAAAATAGTCATCAATTTTGCAACTTTTAATTATAATCTGTTCATTAATCAAAAAATTAATTTCATACAAATGATTTTCACTTTCCTAAACTTGAATTACGAGCTTTTATTTAAAAATTTTTTAAATTCGTTACCTCCCTACACGAAAACAATGGCACTTTTGACTCGACTACTCTTCAAATTACCAAAAATAATCGATTTTATTTAAATTATGAGAAAACAACAAGAAACAAAAATACTAATACTATTTGCATGTGAATCACAAAAGAATGTTTGAATAACACAGAAAAAAATGAATTAGATTTTTCAACTAATCGTAATTAGCTGATCACAAATTAGGTGTTTTTTATAAACAATTAGAAGTATTGACAACTCCTTTAGCTGTTTTAAAATTCATTATTAGCTGGCTCAACTATTTAGAATTAGTTGAATGCAATATTAAAAACAATAGGTGATATGTCTAATCCTTTAGGTGTATTATCTAAAATAAGTAGTTGAAAATATTCAACTAATTTTAATAGACATTTCACCTAAACATTTGGTTATTTTAGAAAAGAAAACAAAAAATAAATTTACAGTTTTTATATAAATTCCTAATCAATGACTACATTTTTAAATATTTTGACTACAACAGTAGTTGATTTAGCTATTTCATTTTATATCAAAAGATTGACTAAAACATTAGCTGAACTACCGAAAACATTAGTTGAGTTATGAAAAGATCAAAATGTTTTATTTAGAAAAAAAAAACCAAAGTACCGCTACTTTTCTTCTTCAATGACTACTTTTCTAGATATCTTAACTATAACTTTATGTGATTCAGCCACTTTATTTTGCTCCAAAAAAAAATTAACTAAAACATTAGTGGAAATATCGAAAACATTAGCTGAATTCACATAAAAACACTCGTTTTATCAAGAGAAAATTCAAAGTACCGCTAGTTTTTTTTATATTCTAATTTTTAAAGTATTTGAATAGAAGCTAGTACATGGTGAATATTGATATAGTTAAGAAGCATAGTTTTGTTTTTGTAAAGTAAATTTTTAATGATTGAAATTAATTTTAAAAAATTTAAAAAATAAAACAAGGTTCTGATACATTATCTACATCTAATACAGTAGGAAATTGGCTTTCAAATACACAGAGTACGTCTACGTTGCAGCAAGGTAGTAGCATAAGCGAAACTTTCGATTTGGTTAGTAGTTGTTTTTTTATTGTTTATACGTTAATGTAATTACTTGGATTCTTGATATAGTTTTACTTTTAGTAAATTTACGTTGGAGCTAAAGGTCACGAGGTAAATTACTAGAAAAATATTACAGTTTATCTAAAAAATACCAAAACTCAGGAGTGTTAAAAACTTTCAGAAAGTCAATCATTACATTTGGAGCCTGAAAAATTTGAAATTTGAAAAACTAAGTTGCACAAATAAATTATATGTCCACAATACTTTATACCAAATTAATGACGTAATTACTTTTAGTGATTTGAAAACCAATAAGTTTTTTTTTGATTACCTATATATGTTTTAAAAATAATACATTTTTCTTTTGTTGTGAATAAAATTAAATGAAACATAACTTAATTTTTAATTTATAACATCCTCTTATTTTCAGGATTAAGCCTAAATAAATTTAGAAGAGAGCCGAATTTATTTAGGTACTTTTTCTAATATAATAGGTAAAAACTCTATTTTACTTATCTAATTAAATAGTTATATTTTCGATTCTTATAACTAAATAATTAGGCATATTATCTATTGTAGGGAATATTTTTCAGCTACTTATTTAGGTGAAATTCCAATTTCTTTAATTGAATTCCAAAAAGATTTTAAAATAATTCAACTAAAAGATTAGGTGAACCAACTATTTGCTTAGTTGAAATCCAGACAAATGTTTAGGTGTTTTAGCTAGTATTGTAGATAAATTAGCTAATTTATTTGGTTAATTTTGATAATTATTAAAAAGTAAATTCAGCTAATTTAAATTAGGCAATGTAGCTAAATAGTTTAGGAGGGTGAAAATCAAGCATTTCATTAGGTGATTTATACTATTGTTTTAGGTAAATTTTCTACTCTTTTTTTTCTGTGAATCTCTTTGTTTTAAAATTTGACCGGCAATACTTTTTTTATACTCATTTTACTGTCATATAAGTATAGCTGCAATTTTTTATTTCTCTTTTTTTTTCAATTAATTTTCTGTAACATTTGTATACTTTTTATTTGCTTTCATTTTTACCTCCCCTTATAAACAAAAGTGATCGGGTTCATGACAATTATTAAGTTCATGTACATAATTCATGAAGCGTATGTCTGCATTATTAAGTAGAAAATCTGTCTACATACATATTTGAAGAATTAATACATTTCTTTTTGTATTAAACTTATGCATATTGTCATGTACATTTTTTTATACATATGTATGTTCTATGAAGCTCAGAGAAAATTGGTGAGAAAATCGCTATTTATTGCAACTAATATTTGTTTTTATTTTTTGTTTGCTTTAGAAACCTTTGAAATATTCTTTCCAATTACATTTTTGTTACCTTTAATTTTTTCTTTTGATACTTTCTTAATAATTGCTTAAAAAGTGAAAGTAAGAACGGATTTTAAATTGGTATTAATTTTTATTATGAAAAAAGCTCTAACTAATTTTAAGCTCTTGCATTACTAATTGCATATTTTATTACAAAAAAAAATTTTGCATTATGCAATGACGTAAGAGTTTATCATTTACAGAGATATTTAACGTAAGATCAAAATATAAATTTGTTTTATTAGAAAAAATTATTTTAGAAACGACGGTATACATCCTAAGAAAATATTTGAGAAAAACTAAATTGGATGTAAACTGAAATTTGTTATTAAAATCTGCATGTTTTCATTTACAAAATTTTAAATTTGTTAATCTACTTACATATATATGTAGAGTTTTTTATTAAAACGCACGATTCTAGATGGAATATATTTTATATTGGGTTAAGAGCAGAATGTTATTTTAAAAATAATGCTATCGACCTGTTGCAACATAACCACAAATAATAAGAAAATACTTGATAAGTAAAAATCAATTATTTTCAATATAATGTCGCCATTTAGATTATCACGTCTTTGTCTCCTTCTTTTTCAATTTATCCAAGTGAAATTATATTTTTATAAAGAATTTTTTTACTTATTTGTTGACATGAATATTTCTTTTTGAATAATTCAATTTATTAACATATTGTGGACAAGGTAAATTCGGTTCAAACCGAGTTACTAAAGTTCTGAGAAAAAAAATTTAGTTCAATTTCAACAGTCCTAAAGTTTTCAGTTTGAAATAAGAAAAGGCCGTTTAACTGTAAAGTGAAAATGAAACTCTAAAGAAAAATTGTTTTAAGTTTAAGAAAAAAATCAAAAATCAGTTTTTGCCTTAAACAAATCAAAAATTAAATAGTTGGATCCATGGATAATGTTTGATATGTAAACATTGACATTAAATTACTATCAATAATACAAGTATGTAATACAATTTCTTTAATCTGCCCTTCAATACTCTTATTGTTAGCGATATTACACACAGAGAAAAATATTTATAACTGTAGATAACAAGTCAAATAAACTTTTGTCAAATATAATTATTTTTTATAGCATCTATCGTATTCACTTAACAGGCAAAATATTAGAATAAGTTTCACAAAACCTACTTTTGCAAGTGAAATTCGTGTTAGAATTTAATTTAACTTACAAATAATATAAAATTAAAGTGCGAAATAATTATAATAAGGTCAATTAATTAACAACTTTCCATAAGAATTCGTTAACAAAAAAATTATACTTATTCTATTTTTTCTGTATTTATTCATCAAATTTTTATAAAACTAATGAAATTTACACAAAAACTTTCACTTTTTATTTATTCATTCTCAAATTGATATTTGCAACTTCTTATTAAATATTTAGATACTGTTATTAAAATAACATTTCTAATGCGAAAACTTTCAAATGTGTTAATTATTTTTTTCATGTCATAAATTTAGATCTCAATTTAAAATCAAAAATGTTAACAAACCTTAATATTTATTTATAGAGCGTTAAATTTAAATAAATAAAATTAAATAAATATTATATGAGAAATTTTTTTAGCGTAGCTGATTTGCACTATACAATGCCAATACATTATTTAAAGGGTAATTGAATTTATAATAAATAGAAATCTATTTCCTAAGTAGTTAAAATATCTGAAATTAAATTTAATTTAACAGGCCCGCATAAATTAACCAAAATCGAAAATTCTATTTCTAACAGACTAAATACAAGACTTTTCTTAATTCATTTACAACTTTTCAATTAAAAAAATTAACATCTGTTTAACAGGAAATTAAAATTTACATTTTCATCTGAAATGTTCTACTTATTTAAACTCGAAATTTTGATCTATTTGCCTCGAATACTTTTTGACCTAACTTAAGTTCGCCTTTCACAAAATTTTTTCTTCTGATACACCCTATTTTTGTTAATTTATTTAAATTTTTGAGGTTATATTTAAAAAAAAATGCTACTCGATCAATATTTAAATTTTAATTTAAGTGTATCTTTACAATTGAATAGTACAAATTAAAAATCTATTCCACATTATAAACACATAAAATAATTATATGAATATTCATAACTATATCATATGATATGTAGTGTATGTATGTAATAATATAAATTTATTAGGTTGAATTTTTTTATTAAAATTTTAATAAATTTTTCAATTGTTTTATTACGTCAAAAGATTCACTTTTCAATTTAAAATTTTATAAGAAAATAATCAAAATATAAAATCTGAACTCACAAATAAAGATGAAAATAATTTTTCATATTATTTATGAAATAAAACAAAACAAATTTGAAAACATAAATTTTATGTATATATATATACAAACATAATAGATTGTGTACCTATATTTATACAGTAGAATCTCTTTTAATTCACTATACATAAAATTTTTATTTA